CAAATATTCTCGGGTTTGTGTGCTGCAACCGCCTTCTTTAAATCCCACCAGAGATTTGTCTATGGGGCTCAAGTCATGTGACTGTAATAGCCACTGTAGAATCTTCCTGGACTTCTGCAACCAAGCCTTGGTGGAACCTGAAGTATACTTGGGATCATTGTCCTGTTGGAAGGTCCAAAGACGCCCAGCTTCAGTTTCCTCACAGACGGCATGACATTTTCTCCCAGGGATTTCCTGATACTTCAATTAATCCATCTTTCCTTCCACACGCTGCTGGTTTCCAGTGTCAGAGGATGCAGCCTGTAGGCGGTGTTCTTTGCAGAGCTTCCTTATTCTTCCGCTAATCCATAGGGCCGAAAAGGTTCCAGTTTTGTTCCAATGCTCCACAGAACAAAATCTCAAGACTTCTGTGGCTTATTTCTATGATTTTGGGCATATGGGAGCCGACTTTTCTTGTGCTTTTGGGTCACAAGTGGTGGATGTCTTGGAGTTCTGGCATTGGAAACCACCTGCCTTTAGTGCGTGCCTTACTGTGCAATCTGAAGCCTCTGTGCCTGTGGCCACCAAGTCTTGCTGCCGGTCTTTTATAGTCACTCAGAGGTTTTTCTTAACCTGCCTTCTAAGATGTGTGCGTACAGTATGAATAGAATCCCTCACAGATCTTGTGAGGGATTCTATTCATACGGTCTGTGAGGAAGCTGAAGCTTAGGCGTCACTGGACCTTCCAACAGAACAATGATCCCAAGCATACCTCACATTCCACCAAGGCTTGGTTCAAGTCCTCCGGGAAGACTCTACAGTGGCTATCGGTCACTTGACTTGATCCCCATAGAAAATCTCTGGTGGGGTTTTAAAGACGGTTGCGGCATGCAAACCCAAGAATAATCGTGAACTGGAGGCCATTGCTCATGAGGGTACAAAGTTCCTCAGGAACGCTGCCAGAAGCTGGTGTCCGGCTATGCATCTCGCTTGCAGCAGGTCATAACAACGAGGGGTTGAATAATTTTCATTACAACTGTACATATAATTACAGCCCAGAAGTTCAAATGTTGTTGGCTTGAGGTTTTCTTCTCAAGACCTCGAGCAACAGATGTATAGAAATGTCAGACTGCCAGCAATAGCTCACACTTAGGGGCTGATCTATAAATCTTGCAGTGCCACTAGATGGAGAATAGGAATTTCCTGTCTTTAGACGGCTGCTCAGCCACGCCCCCTCGTGCTCGCTCGAGCGGCAAATGCCAATATTTGAAAACAGGCAGCGATCCCCGTTAATATACAAGCGATCCGCCGGCTATAGAGCCAGCGGATCGCTTGTATGAGGTCCCGGGATGTGCGCCCCCTCCCGCTGGTTCCAGGCTTCACTGTGCCCAGTGCGAACCCGGGACCAGCACACTGCCTCTGTCACAGGGGAAGGTTGGGTCCCCTCTGCTCTGAAAGAATGCAGAAGTGTTGTATAAGACATCACTTCCACATTCTTGTGCCACTCTCCAGCTTCAGATGCTGGAGAGAAGCTGATAAAGCAGATCTCTTGAAGTGTTTAAAAGGGAACAGTGCCTGAAGCTTTTCATGCCTGCAATTACCTCGGTTAGTCGTCAGATCAATCCGTCCCTTGGATCTCAGACATAATCTGTCGGTGGGGTCCTCACTTCTGCGCAGGTCTTGCTTAAATCAAAACAGTGGCCAGGCTGTGGGCAATCCATTTACATATTCCTAAAAGGAAGCTTCATTGACTTCTGTAGCTGCAGGCACTATGAAATAATTCATTCTTAAAACCTACAGTGCAAGTACTTCCTCTTATTCAGTGGCTTAGCTCAGCCTATCACCTCCTCACAGAATGGACTTAGCTCACCTTTCCACACAGTGACTCACCAGCAGGTAACAGAGTGGGCTACTGAGGTGAATGAGGAGCTGCTCCCTTTCAGCAGTGACCAAGTGGCTCATCTCATCATGCTCCCCCTCCCAGCACTGATGCTGAAGCTTGGTACTCTGTTCCCTACTTCTAACAGTGGCTCAGCTCCCCTTGTATTCATTTGATAACCATGACTCTGTAGCTCAGCTCACTCTGTTACCGTCTCCCATCAGTGACTTAAGAGCCTTTTAATCTCAAATGTAAACACAGAGCAGGAGTACTAGACGAGGGGAGAGCAGAGTGCTGAGACCCAACTCTAATGACTTCAGTGCTTCTCATGTGAATATTGAGAATACATTGCTCCACAGTGCTTGCAGCTTCAGAGGTCAGTGAGGGCTTATTTTAAAGTTAATTTATTGCTGGTTAATAAGTAGCTGCTTGAATGTCCCTCGTCTGACCACAGGCTCACTTTAAGCCCCGCCCCTGTGGTTTTACTGTCAAATGCCAGTCTCTTAAAAGGAGCCTGGAAGGGGGAGCAGGGCTTAACCTCAGCTTGTGCAGAATTTGAGAGTCTCCACCGGGATCAGTTTGAAGAATAATGGAGGTACTTCCAGTCACTGCAGTGTTACATTTCAGCATTGTTGGCTTAGAAATGTTTTATGTCAAATTCCCTTTAAGGTGCCAAAGACTCAAGAGTGCAGCTAGGTATGCCCTACTGATCCTAAGCCCCCTCTGCAGATAGTGGGGTTCATGACATGTTTTTTAAGGGAGTTGTAAAGTCCCAGCACATGCCATCCAGTTGTAACCTCAGCATTGTAGTATGAATACATACTAGAGTTGTTTCTGATAATGCAGTCAAAGCTTACATGGAAAAAAAAAATGCCTTTTATGTAGTGAGCGCCGCCTTCTGTCTGCCCATCACTTCCAACAACTTCCTAGTGTGCTTTGTGTCTCTTTCCCAGCTGCTTGATGTGACTCAATCTCAAGACTACATAGCCCCAGGCCCGGCGCTACCGCAAGGCAAGTCAGGCAGCCGCCTGAGGGCGGAAAAAACAGGGCATTTTGACAAGTACTTTTTGGGCATTTTGACAAAAATGCACCTTGCCTGTGTAGGCAAGAATCCTAGCACCGGCCCTGCATAGCCCAGCAAGCATTAATAACGTCACATTGTTCAGATGTTGAGTTGTAGTTCAGACGGCAGGGACTGTGCGGCTGGCGACACCAACAAATGCATATTGAGTGCATTGAGGAAGTCCCTCCTATGGGCATCTTCAGTTAGTAACGTCTAAATAGATCTGGTTATTAGGTGCGGGGTAGAACTTATAGAAATACATATGACCATAGATACCCTTTGAATGTACAGAAGACGTCACCTCATCTCCCCATGGACAGTTACAATGGTGATCCTGCTAAAAAAATAATAAAGAAACCCACACAGGATGCTGGGACCTTGGAGCACCTCCCAGGTATAAACAGAGGGATTAAGTGTGGGGATTCTCCCTGTAAATGGCCATTGACAGGACACGCAGGGATGACCGGCACCAGAAGGTCTATGACAGGGGTAGGCAACATTTGCACTCCAGCTGCGCTGAAACTACAAGTCCCATAAGGCATTGCAGGATTGGCAGCCACAGGCGTGACTCCCAGGGAGTTTCTAGTTTTACCACAGCTGGAGATCCAGGGTTGCCTGCCCCTGTAATAAAAATGTCAGGGTGACAGCCTTGGAACCAGAACCTCCAAAAGCAAGCTGGCAATGGCAGCTCCCATTTTGTTTTCCCTCACTTACGTCCCCTTTAAGAATGAATTTCTTGCATAATCCCAGCCGTGACTTCTGTAATCTTGGCCAAGAGGCAGTTGCACAACTACAATCCCACATCCGCCACCACAATGCTAACAGGCGTCCTATGGAAGCGCCTGTTACCACAGCAACTGGAATATTGCGGTAGAGCTCTTGTTTGGGAGTAAACAGAATGGTTGCTACGGACAACACTTCCACCTTGTGCTTTCTTTTTACAGCAGGGGTTGCCAACCTCGGCCCTCCAGCTGTTGTGGAACTACAAGTCCCATGAGGCATAGCAAGACTCTTGATAGCCACAGGAATGACTCCCAGAGACAGAAGCATGATGGGATTAGTCGTTTCACCACAGGAGAGGTGCCGAGGTCGACTACCCCTGAGTTTGAATAAAAAAGTAATAAAGAGTATGTGTATAACAAAAAAATGTTTTTATTTAACATTACAAAAAAATACAAAATCCTAAACTGAACGACAGAGTATAAAAATACATGAAATGTCGGCACGAGTAATAAAGCTTTATAAAATGTGCAAAAATTGAAAAAGGAAGAAGGACGAGACTTCCATTGAGCTCCAAGCGTTCCAAAGCTGGACCCCAACAGCCATCCCTCCCCACACCCCTCAATGGAATGCTCTGGGACTCTGTAACCTATAGAAAAGTTTGTTCTTCAAGGGGCCGTGACACAGCTATGACTTTCTGAGCTTAAAGTCACTCTTTGCATTTTGAGTGCCCCCCGCCCCCGTTATGGAGTCTTCCTGGACACTCCGGAGAATACCTTGGGCCCCATTCATACCCGAGTGTGTTGTCACGCTGTTCCCAAATCTCGTCAACGTTCAGTATGAAGAATCCCATCATTCTAAAAGTGAGGGCAGGAACCTCTTACTACTAGATAATTCAGCTTAGTATCTTCAAAGACCAAATTGTGTTCATTTTTTTTGGGTACCACCAAGTCCACCTTGAAGGGAAGCCAACGTTCTTACAATGGCAATGCTCTCTGCATCATGGAAGGCTGTCCAGCACTGGAGAGGAAGTGAAGAGGACCCAGTGTGTCCCAAGACTGGTCTGTGGAGGGAGGTGAGGGGAATGTGGTGGTGGTGGGGGCGGGTCGTGCTGGGGTCGGTATCTGGAAAAAGGTTAGCCTAACCCAAACTGGTAATTTTTAGAGGGTTCAGGTTGTGAAGAGTGTGCTGCAGGTTTCCTCTCTGTAATATAACAGAACAGTCCAGTAACAGGGAACACAAGCGTAATGTCTGTAAATACTAAGCGTAGGAACTCCCACCACCAGACTTAGGAGAAGCTTGTGGTTCAGCCTACCAGCGGCTCCTCTAAACCATTGGCTGGACTGAAGAAGGCCATCATCAAGCAGAGGTTTCTCCATCGTGGTTGGCGGGGATTGTGTCCACCACGGCAGGAACAGCTTCATTAAAGGAAGCAAAAAATTGTTGCGATTCAACATAAAATATGGGAGTGCCAGGTTGACCTTCATCGGCCAGTGCCATTGGGTCAGTGATTGGCGGGTCCTGAGGGCTCTCCGGGCACACGCTATCAGAAGATCCAGACATGGAGCTGGTTGACCTCTTGATGACTGAGAAGCGACTACTGGGTGCTACAAATAGCGTACTGAGAGCAGCAGACGAGGGCGGAGGAGAGGCGCCATTGCCTCCCATGAGGCGGCTAAGCAACGGAAACGCATAGGATAAAGTCTCTTCGTTCAATTCCTCGATGTCTGAGAGGTGCTGGTACTGCATGTCCTCCTTGGCGAGCCTAATTCACAAATAAATGGATACATTTCATCAAAAGATCACCAATGGTTATAATTATAAAGTGGGTGCCAACACGAAGGTCTAAAATATCATAACAGAGCTGAAATGCTACATTTGTGGTCCCGAAGACCGTGTGATTGGGTCCTGTGGTCCCTGATGAAGGGGAGGATCAGAGTGGCTGATCCTTCCCTTCAACAGAGGTCATGTGACACAATACATAGGCTATGGATTATGTTGAGGAGCAGAATTTTCCCCAGTAAAGTAAGGTACATCAGCCCTGGTATAGCAAAACCAAAATCAAAGATGGGTGGTACGTACGCCATGTCAAACGTGGATCCCTGGAAGGAAGGTTGGTACTTCTGGAATAAGGTGGCTGCTGTGTACGGCGGACGAGGATCTGAATCATTCCAGTATCGATCCTTCACCAGAACAGGAACGTCACCATACATCTCATCCACTGCCAGCATGGACACCTAGAAGGAGAGCCAAGAGGTCACCCCCGTGCAATGACATGAACTGGACATGTCTGGAACGAGGACATCAGAGAAGGCCCAACACCATCTCAATGACACATCTGATACCACATGGCCAGCCAATGGAAACAAGCTCATGACTAATGTGTATGACCCGGCTTTGTGCATGGAGTGGCCCTTGAAGAGTCAAACTATTCTTCATATTTGGCTTCTGCTTTGCGTAAACCCCAAAACACATTGGCTGTCAACGCTTAATGGACCCTTCATTTGTGACAAAGAAAAATTAATACCTGGACATCCTTTCACTCCATTCAGGGCAGGAGAGGAGGGAGGGGGAGGAGTCACTGTTCTGACCCATTTTCTGTGTGTGTGTTATATGAGCTTCAGCTACTGAGCTCTATAAACACTTGATACTGCATTTAGTGCAAAATACAAGCAAGGGGTTAGCTTCAATGAGAGTCGTGGTATACTTACCCTTCCAGGGGGGTGACTAGTGAACCCCCAGGAGTGTAGAATAGTGTCCCATGCCCATCACTGTGGTTCCATATGCTGGTCCTTGTGTCACTACTATGTCCTATGTTTTTTCTTTTTGAAATGTTTTTATCTAGTAATGGAAGCATGAGGCTGGAGAGCCCAGAGTGAGCCAAACGTCTGATAAAAGGACATCTCATGGTCACCTACCCCCTGCCAGAGTAGACCGGGCTGGGGCTCTGCAGAATAGCCATCATACTCCACTTTGAGGAACATTAGACTTTTTTGGGGACTTTCCCCTTTTCTTAGCACGAGCGTGTCCTCAGGGGGCTCAGACCATTAGCTGGGCGACTCATCAACATAAAACACAACCAAGAAACGTTGTTCTGTACCTGGAAATTCCGGTCAATCAATAAATTGGTTTCAAAGTCATCATCGTCCTCACCAAACGGATTAATCAGCTGCTCTCCCACCTTGTGAGGGAAGGAAGCAGAATATGAAGTCATGTTTGCGGGTCCAAGAATCAGCTTTGCTAAAACCAACACAAGAGGAAAACTTTATACCGACCTTCAGCCAGCCGGCATAGAAGAAGAACTGAAGGAGGGTGAAGACGGGGACATAGAGGTCCAGGTCGTGGCCGGAGTAGCCCTGGACCGGATCCAGGAACTGGCGTCCTATCAGGCAGGTGAGGAAATAGCTGTATACGGCGATGGTCACTACCTGAGACCAGAGAGAGAGAGAGAATGTAAATATGAAATCTAATCAACAAGGAGGCTAGAAGAGTGTTCTGTGTGTTTTATATTAAAGCAGAACTCTGGGATCAGCAAATATCCTCATACAAGAGTCATGCGTGTTCTTCCTGGATTCTTGGTGAGCTTTGTGTATTTCTTCCAGATCTGTGCAGTAATCCAGTGTGAGACTTGGGGGTTCCTGTAATAAAGACCACTCACTGCCCTCTCTCCTTGTGCAGGGTGACCAGTCTTGTCTCTGCCCCTTTCTGTCATAAAGACCGGTCACTGCTACCCTCTCTTTGTGCAGGGTGACTGGTCTCGTCTCCGCCCCCCCCTGTAATAAAGATCAATCACTGCTGCTCTCTCCTTGTGCAGGGTGACTGGTCTTGTCTCTGCCCCCTCCTGTAGTAGGTGGGGCCTGCTGGGTTCCTCCCACAGCAATATGCACAGGATATGTGCAGCGCAGTGATGATGTCTAAGGCCCTGTTCACATTGAGCGATTTATCGCACTGTAATTCCCGCGATATCGTGGCTATTTACAGCGAGATATCGCTCTTCAATGCTTTGCAATGGGGCAAAGGGTCCTGCTGTCGCGGGTCGTGTGTCGCTACAGCAGGACCCTTTCTGGAGCGGCAAATCGCGCGATAGCGATCAAAATGCAAATCGCGTGACAAACGCGCGATTTGCCAATCGCCAAGTGTGAATGGGGCCTAATACTTTTATATGGAAAAAAAATCCTGTTTTTGGAAAGGCATTTGGTGCACAAAAAGTGGATTTATATATTTTGTGGTTTCAGCGGAATATATTTAAATTGTTTTCTTGTGCCCGGAGTTCAGCATTAAGTGGACTATGGAAAAATAATTGGGGGGGGGGGG